CTCTTTGGGTGATTAGCCTTTGCTTATGCAAAGAGGAATCTACAAAGGTATTGATTTCTCAACTCACTTTGTTTTTGAGTTGAGTCTTGGTTCACCTATCTACTAGGCTTTGAATTTCATGGGTAAATGTTTTGTTTTAAGTGCATACAAGCATGATTCCGCCTTTAATTGTTAATTGCATGCTATTGATGTTGCTTAAATGAACATGTTTTTCACAAATTTTCTTTCACTACAAAATTCCCATGCTTCTAATTTCTCAGTTTAAAATTTCAATATGAACCCATTTATTATGCTAAGAAAACAAATCCATACACGATCCTTCTTTATTTTGTAATCACTGAAGAACACTATGCAATGAAAGCTTGAATCTCAGTTAGACTAAATGGCTCTGATACCAAATGTTAAATTAAGCATTTAGTATGAAACTAAGATTACGATATACAAATAAATGTTAGTACATAGTGATTGAATCAGTACACACACACACACCAGAAAAAGCCATGAAGAATAGTATGAATGCACTGAAGAGAATACTAATAGAAGGTCTTCTACTCACACAGCCTTTATGTCCAATACTAGTGATAGTCTAGTGATCGAGTAAACGTATATTTGGTGAGCAGGGACGTTTGTATTTATAATATATTCTAACGTGATCCCAGCTATCATGGGATCAGTTAATACCCATTAACTTGCACGTTCGAATGAGGTTATGTATAACGTTCCCATAATCCCTTAATACTAGGAGATCAGTTGTTGACATGGCCATGGCTCCTAATCCTTATCATGATACGTGTAAGTTCAAAACCTAAGAACACATTGTTTGCTGAATTTCATCCCCTGCAAACAGTTGGTATCAAGAAAACTAGCGACACCATTAAACTTTTCCATCAAGATGAGAAGTTAATTATTTAGAACATGTTTGAATGTAAAACCAATCTTATTCTCGCTATGCACCTGCACTAACATGAGTGTAATAAAAAAGCAGGGCCAGGGTTGCCTTCAACATTTATTCCCAGATCACTTGAAGAATACTACCTCAATATTTTTATTTGGCAAGTTACCTTTAACATTCAAGACTTAGCTCAAATACCATGCTACTCAAACAGATTTCTCTATCAGATGATGGATTAAACTAAATAACATATACAATGCATTAATGGGAATGAAAGGTGAAACAATTTCAAAATTAACTATAATCATTTGAAGGATCTGTTTCGACTTTCCAAGATGAAAATTAATTTCATTATGATCTTCCTATCAATGGCAACAAAGCACAATCTACTTTATCTTTGTACAGCAAATCAATTATCAATTCTGCAGTTGATGCATCTGCAGAAAAAACCCTTCTCCACCATTCGTTGAATATGTCTCATCGCTTTTGATGTCTCGTTGTTGTTGAAAAAACCTCGGATAATTATATTATATGTCCAACTATTTGGAGAACAGCCTTTCTCTTTCATTTCTTTAAATAACTTTACCACTTCGCTCATTAGCCCTCCGTTACAAAATCCACCAATCATTATGTTATACGTCCTGGTGTTAGGTTGAAGACCTCTTGATGATAACCCGCGAAATAGATCCCTTGCAGATTCATTTCCCACCAATGCACAAGCCTTCAATAAGAAGAGCGTAAATCACAATATTTGGAGATCCAACTTCTCACTTTCCATATCTTTTAACAATTTTATTGCCTCGGGAAATTGTTGGTTTTTACACAGGCCGTCCAATAAAACAGCATAGATTTGAACATTTGGAAATTGACCGCAAGCTTGCATCTGAGCGAACAACTTTTATGCATCTTGTGTTCTCCCTACTTTGCAAAAACCATCCATGAGAATGGTATAAGTAACGACATTAGGAACGACTCTGCTGCTAGACATTTCCTCAAAAAGCATCAGTGCCTCATCTAGTCTTCTATGCTTACAAGAGCCATTTATCAGTATGCTATAACTATAAGCATCAACAATGGATCCCTTGCTGAGCATTTGTTCCAAAATCTTTTTCGCCTTGTCCACTTCCCCTTGCAAGCAATAACCATCCATAAGCAAATTATAAGTAGCTGTCAGGCTTAATATCTCTTTGAGTCATCATTAGAACTTTTTGCTTCCTCGACCAAGCCCTCTTTACAACGGGTGTCTACCAAGACATTGAAGGTGTCCATATTTGGAAAGATACCTTTGCTCACCATTTCATCAAACAATCTCGTAGCTTCTTTCGACCACCTTAATATGCATACTCCATGAATCAAAGAAGTATATGTAATGACGTCAGGGTCAATACCTTTACTCATCATTAAGAGGTTCAATGCATCAATAACCATAGTATCCTCAAACAATGTAAGGCTTGCAACCTGCTTCTTCCATCCTTTTAAGCAATTGTATAGCTCCACCGTTGTTACCTTTCATACAAAGACCCTTAACTAGTTACTAGTGTGCTGAAAGTAACCACGTCAGGCTTACAATTACCACTCTCCATCATTTTACTAAAAATCTCAAAAACATCAACCTCTCTATTTTGAAGGATTCTGTTAATCAGTGTAGTGAAGGTCGCCACATCATGTTCAAAACCAAGTTTGAAGAATTTTCCCAAGACAGAGTCTTATCTTACAACTAATTTCTTGGAAGAAATTTCATTGCCAACGTATATACCCTTGATTTGCTCTTTTTTTTTTAATTATTTTTATTAATGTCGTCCTCTTATTTTAATTTTATCACAATTAAAATAGCTCTAATTTTCTTGAACATTTGTTTTTGGAAACGATTGCTTCAATTTGTTTTCTTTTCTTTTTCCCGCGTCCAATGTTCCATTCAATAGCGAAATCGATCAACCTTCTCCGCCATTGCGGCAGCAATCCCCTGCAATCCCATCACCATCCATATCAGACTTTCCGCTCCAACAAACCCAAGACCACCGTCCCTCGCCGCCGCCGCCAACGACTTCACAGAAACACCGCAAAGCTCCGCAGGCCGATACCTTTCGTCTCCGATGTCAAAGCAACGCAAGACCCAGAAGAGGCCTTGTCTCTCTTCCACGAGTACCACCAAATGGGCTTCAAACATGACTACCCTTCTTACTCTGCTCTTCTCTACAAGCTCGCTCGCCGCCGGAATTTCGAAGCCGTCGACGCCGTTCTCGGCCTTGTCCGAGATCGAAACATTCACTGCAAAGATACACTTTTCATTGCTCTGATTCAACATTACGGGAAAGCCGATTTGGTAGAGAAAGCCGTCGATCTTTTTCATCAAATGCCTTCTTTTAACTGTGTCCGTACGTTGCAGTGCTTCAATGAGCTCCTTAATGTGCTTGTTGATGGCGGTAGGTTTTCAGATGCGGATGAGATATTTGGGAGGTGTTCTACATTGGGTTTTCGTCCGAATTCGATTTCGTATAATATAATGATCAAGGGGTGGCTTCAGAAGGGCGACTGGGAAGAAGCATGGAAGGTGTTTGATGAAATGCTTGAGAAAAAGGTGCAACCTAGTGTTGTGACGTATAATAGTCTTATAGGGTTTTTCGGTAGAAAGGGTGAGTTGGAGAAAGCTACTGGTTTGTTTGAGGACATGAGACAGAAAGGGAAATACCCGAATGCGGTGACATATGCATTATTGATGGAAGGTTTGTGCTTGGCGGGGAAGCATGATGAAGCAAAGAAGATGATGTTTGATATGGAGTATCGAGGGTGTAAACCACGGCTTGTGAATTATGGTGTATTGATGAGTGATCTTGGAAAGAGAGGGAAGATTGACGAGGCAAAGTCTTTCCTTCAGGAGATGAAGAAGAGGCGGTTTAAGCCGAATGTTGTGATTTATAACATATTGATTAACTTTCTGTGCAAGGAAGGCAGGGCTGCGGAGGCTTACAAAGTCTTGGTTGAAATGCAAGTTGGAGGCTGTGAGCCGAATGCAGCTACTTACAGGATGATGGTTGATGGGTTTTGTCAGATAGAAGATTTTGAGGGAGGTTTTAAGGTTTTGACTGCAATGTTGGCAAGTAGACATTGTCCTCGTTTAGAAACATTTGAATGTTTAGTTACGGGCCTATTAAAGTGCGGGAAGATCAATGATGCTTGTTTTGTCTTGGAGGAGATGGAAAAGAGAAATATGCAATTTCATTTGGAAGCTTGGGAAGCTCTAGTTGTGGATGCTTGTGGAGAGGATATTGTTGCATGTGACGTTGTGACTGAACTAGGCTCTGCCCATTAATGGTCATCCGGGAAGAGATGAATCAGCACAAGTGGACCACAACGTCGCTTGGCCTTCAGCAGAGAATAAGAGGAATGGTGTTCTTTGGGTGATGGGGAGCTTCTGATAAGGTTTTTTCTGTGCTCTTAGGTGCTTGAAGCTCTAGTCTCTGGTAATTGTGGTGAGAAAACAGTGGTTAGGTTGGCATGTAAAACAACTAAGCAATGTGCATTGTGCACCCGTAAGGCTTCAGGAAGAAGAGGAGTTTATGAATCGAAACATTTCACCAGTATCATGTAGTATTATTGCCAACTCAATGTCTGAGGAAGCTCACTATGCTTGTGGTTCGAGGTTTAGTCGGCATGTAAACTCAGCCAATATATGACCACTGTAGACTTCAGGGAAGCGAACCCTACTTGAGGGAAGAGACGGAAGTTTTGCTCCAGAGTCGAATTGTCGATGCGATTGCGAAGTCAAGTTTCTGGGGGAAGCTCTGATTGATGATGCTTGTGGTGCAAACACAGCTTTTTGTCATTTTTTTTCAATTTAGTTGTTGATACCAACTCCTTTGTTTAATTTTTGGTGGGGAATATAACGGCTTCCATGGTTCTTACTTCTATTTCGATTTTTTGAGTTTATATACAATAAAAAGTTACCATATATCTTAGAAATTCTTCTATGAAATTACTTTTTACTCTGTTAATGGATCAAAAGTTAAAATAATAATACGATTTTAATTAAAAACTCAATTAAAAAGGGAACTTCCTAAACGAATCCAGAGGTTTTAATTAAGTTCACAACTGAAACACAAGCCTCTAAACCAACACACCAGGGCCAGAAATGCAAGAACACCTACTCCATCTTATAATTTAAACTTAATCTTGTTAAACTTAGATATATATACCCAACAATTCTGTCTTAATTCATCATCAACCCATTAAACAAAATATCCTCTCCAGATCATAAGTTCTTCAATTTTCTACCTTTCCTTGGAATTCATGGCAACCCGAAAATCGACTCCCTTGGCCCTCAAGCTCACAATCTGGCTGCTGCTTCTAGCTCTTGCCATTCCATGCGCCACCTCTGCCCGAATCCTCGATGAGGAAAACCCTGTGGCTCCCGGGGAGACTGATACAACTCAAACACAAACACCTGTTTCCAATGTGCCACCTCCTCAGGTAGCTACAAATCCAGCAGGCCCCGCTGCTGCAGCTACAAGTGCCACAGTTGGCAATACAGCATCCTACCATCCACTAACCTTCTTCTTGCATGACATTATCGGTGGATCAAACCCCTCGGCTAGAGCTGTCACTGGAATTGTGGCCAATCCGGCAGTCAGCGGTCAAGTCCCTTTTGCCAAACCCAATGGAGCAAATATCCCAATTGGGAATGGCATTCCCCAGAATAACAACAACAATGGAATCATCAACAACAACAATGTTCCCTTCTTCACCGGCCTTGGTGGAAACGCCGGCAACAACTTGATCCAAAACAATGGCAACAACATCATCATTGGCGGGAATGGGCTTCCGTACCTGAACGGGGCTCAGCTTCCCCCTGGAATCACCCTTCAGAAGCTTATGTTTGGGACCCTTACAGTTTTCGACGATGAGCTGACTGAAGGGCATGAGCTTGGATCTGGCTTGCTGGGCAAGGCACAAGGGTTTTACGTGGCGAGTTCTGAAGATGGGAGCAGCCAGACCATTGCCTTCACAGCCATGTTTCAGAGTGGAGGTTATGCTGATAGCCTCACCTTCTTTGGTGTGCATCAGGTGGCAGCTTCGGAGTCTCATCTTGCAGTCATGGGAGGAACTGGCAAGTATCTCAATGCAAAGGGTTATGCTCTTGTTAAGACTACTCCTGCAACAAATCAGCAAAACACTGATGGAGTTGACACTGTGCTGCAGTTTACCACGTATCTTACTTACTAGTGTGCTAATTAAGGTTTTAATTTAAAATGTTGTTAATTTTGTGTTTCGCTAAAATCTCTGCATTAGAGATGCATGTTCGAAAATGATTGTGACTTAAATTGCAGAACTGATTGTTATTTGCATGAAAATGACGTATTTTTCTTTTGAAATATCTCTTAAATCGGATGGGACCAACGTCAGATTAGATGAAACTAAACTACATGAGCCTCGTGCTTTTGTGAGAAGTACCTCACGAAAAGTTTTTCTCTGCTTCAAGAGTAGGCTGATTAGCCTTCTAACTACCTTGGCTAATTAGCCTCTACCACTTCGAGATTAAGTGATAATTTAATATTGGGGTTATTAAGGGCATATTTCAATCAAGTTTTATCAAGTTCTTTTAAGATTAAAACTTACCTATATATACCGATTAAGTTGGAGAAAATGTCAGTACAAGAGGGCTGAAAGACGTTGGCAACCAACGAATAAAAGCAAAAATGTGAAATTTGTCCTGCGTGGTTGAGGACTAAGTGAAGAGTTTAAGAAATTTGTCCTCACCGTGCTCTTATCTCTCTCTGCTCTCTGTTCTCTTGATCATCGACAGCCACTATCACACCACAACTCGCCAACTCCAGCGAGACCACACCACCAACCCACTACCACTCTCTCCCTCTCTCCTCACCCTGAACCCAGAATTTCGAACTGAGGAAGATCCCATTTCTACCGTTGTCCGTCCAACTTTAGCCGTCCTTTGATCCACCTCCGAGGAAGATCTCGCACTCACCGTCCTCGATTCAATTCCGCTGAGGAGTTGTGTAGGTTAATTTACTTTATTTCCTGTATTTTTTTTTTTTTGGTTCAATTTCAAACTCGTGATGCAACTCTAAAAAGAGCAGCAAAGCCTTTGACCCGCAGCTCCAGCATCGACCCCCTTCTCCAACCCCACCAGCTTGTTAATCAGGTTTGTGTTAATGGGTTTGATAAAATTACGTTAATTTGGATTAATTTTATTAATTTTTGGTCAATTACTTGGCTTGATTTGCGATTTTTGCTACTTAGTTTCCTTGTCGTCACTTTTGAAAGAGGTTATAGTTTGATTTTGACTGTAATCCATCACTAGTGCCTTACCTTTCTATAAGTGGATAACCCCAATTAAAGTCCTTAAATAAGTTACTCAGACCACAGTATATCACTGGTCAATTGAAGGTCCTTAAATAAGTTATTTGAGTATTGTGCAATCATACTTGTTCAAGTTTTTGTCATGTGGAAACATTACAAATCTATGGTATCAATCTGCTTCTTGTGTTAAACTTTTGGTCTTTATTTGTTTTCCTTGTATGAATGAATTTGAAAATTCTTTTGAATGTAGCCAAGATGGAATGTTTGGGGTTGTGATGTTGGTCTCCATATGTGGAGGAAATGGGTGTGTTTTGGTGTTAGGTCTTTACGGTCAAGTATTTTGGGATCAATTTTGTGGAGTAACTCAGACCGTGAAGATTTTTATTTGAAAAGAAAAATGATGAATTGCAGCATTGTTGTTTCACATTCTTTTTTGTACTAGGAAAGCTATCTTAGCTATGAGTTTGGCTATTCTAGTTGATATGGTTCTGATAGCATGCCAAGCATTCTTTGGATATGGGACATGTCACATACGCCATCTTGAACTCGCTGCTATCTTGGTGCAGAAATATCTTATTCGTGCAGCAGTTTGAGATCCTACGTGCACTCGTTCCGTTGTTTGCACAGGAAGTTCTCGTTTGTACATGTGGACTCCTGGTGTTGCCTACAGTGTGAGCATCCCTCCCTAACCACAATTTAGCATGCTTGATCTAAAATGGAATTGAGTTGGAAGCTGTCTCCTCCTGAAGGATAAAGAGTTGTTTTGCTGTGCTTCTGTTGCAGTTCTTGAATTTAGTAAATATAGCTCGGATGATTGAGGCAGTTAGCTATTTTCCAGAGTTTATTGTAAAAAATTGTAGAATGTACAATTAAGCAATTTATCTTGCTTTGCTGTGTATTGTGTTAATGTAGTATTGGGATCTTTCATTTGTTCTAGTTGGAACATCCAACAGTTCGATTAAATTGGTGACCTTTCCGTCTCTCATTTGCTTTTCCTTTCATTGGATTAGCACTAGTGCACCTGGAATTGACTAACTGACTTGTTTTGTTGTGAGGGAAGACATTTTAATTGCTTAGTTTTATATACAAATGGAATGCATAAATTGTTCATGATCTCTTCCTTTTGCATATTGTTACTAGTTTGCTTCAATCTAGTTGGAGCAAGCCAATTTACATGCTAGGAATCCAAATGTAGCAATGATCAATGCGCAGCTATCCATTTGTCATTGTGCCTCGCATCATTGTGGTATTGGGATTGAATGCAATTGTCATGGTATGGACTAAAATTGGCTTATACATACAAGAGCAATTCGAAGTAATTATTTCGCAATTGAGTAAAAAACTAACTTGTCAGACATCAACTTTCGTTCTACTCAAATACAAGTATAAACCAACACCTTTAACTTTAATCTACAACTTTAAACCAAAGGTGAATAATTAAGAAAAGCATCATGAACCTTGTCGATTGTTGGGAGTACACTTTGTTATATTGATGTTTGGAACAATGCTACTCTTGAATCATGTATGTTTCTTTCATTGGCAAGAAAATTTGGTTTTTGTATTTTTATTAAGTCTCACTCTCATCCAATATTATTAATTTTAATAATATCTTTAATAAAAAAAAGCAATTAAAATAGAACAATAATGTAGTCCTAGTCTGTGCAAACACCAAACTGGTGACATTACTGTTTTCATTATCCTGCTTCTTAGTTCGACATTGCACCAAACGTTTTACTAAGGTAGTCCAACTTAGTCTAGTCTAAGCCAATCCAGCTTGGTCCATGAAGCTAGTCCAGTCCGAGACAGTCCGATGTAACAAACGCACCCTTTGTCCTAGGCTTCGGCAACAAAAGATTGGGTTGGTCAGCCAACCCAATGCTACATGTCGGGCTAAGTTGAAGTTTGGCCCGATTGAACTCGAATTGACCCTCTTTAACCTACTTTAATTATAATTTTTACCAATCGGCGGGTAAAATCATTCGCAAACCACTTAAATTGGTGATGAGGTATTTTAAGTGATAGATTAGCCTTACTGTTACCAGTATGATACTTTGAGATTCAGTCTTGTGTCACGTCGAACTTCCCATCTCCTTGTCATTTCCCTCTCATTTTAAATTACTCATCCTTTGCGAGACGTGGCTATTCTTATATGACAAGTCACGATCCTTATAAATGAAATGAAATTAATTTCCTTTCAATTTGATAAAAAAAAATATTTGAGATCAAATTCTTTATTTTTCTACAATGCAACCAAGCATCGAATGCCACGAAAAATAAACGGCCAAATTTGAACATTAAGATCTAACGGCTAAAAAAAGATAGATTGCACGGCTAAATCTAGGGTATTATAGCCAGATCCCAAATTCTTTGAGATATGATCCAACTAACTTTGAATCCATGTGACATATGAAGGTTTAAGTTTTTGAGGCGCTCTCTTTCGTACATTTCAAAAAAAGAAAAAAAAAAAGTGACAATATTTACATGCTAAAAAATTCATATTTTCCGGCCAAACTACAAAATAAACCTCCAGCGTGAAGTGAGAATTGAGAAGAGATATACCGGCCATACATATTGAAATATTTTTTTGTCAAACAATAGATTTTATTAGATTAAATGTTAAATTAGCCATCCATGGGGTTCAAACCCACGTCATCATGCAAAGGCTCAACAACTTTCCACGGCCATCATGCAAAGGCTCAACAACTTTCCACCACAGGCACCACTGTAGTAAAAAGCCACTTGCCCATAGATATTGAATTGAGTTCCGAGTTTTGTAATCTCGTACCCTAGCACTACCAGAAAGTTCAAAGGTGAGCTCACATAACATATGGAAGATAGTTCCAAGTTTTAAGCTTTCATACGTCAAAAGCATAGTTTCATGTCTCAAAAAGGAGAGTAACCTAACAAATTTTAATTTGCTTGGATAACATATGGATATCATAAAAATTTCTAAAGTCAATTTCAACCTTTTTTTTTCCTATCCTTCTTTCGTATGGTGTAACTTTCCATGTCGATTTCTAACACATTGTTCCCATCACCCTTCCTCTATCTTTATTCATCCCTCTTTTCTTCATTGTTTTACCCTTTATTTCTAACCAAAAAGTATAACTAAAATTGTACCCAAAAAAATATATAACTAAATAAAATGGTTATGAAATAGCCTAACGTTTTCAAAATTCCCTCTAAGTTATAAGGAAATGATCATGTTTCAAACAAATTTGTGGTGATAATATAACAATTCAATATATAAAAATAATCTCTTTTATTAAGAGCTCTCTCAATAAAATATTTTATGGCTCCTCCTTCCGATTTTATTTCAATTATCCGAATCATCTATTTTTTTTATTATTTATTCAAAAATCTTATATCCAAACAATAGATTAACATGGTATTTCAAGAAATTACTAAATACAAAATAATTTAATTGAGTTATTATGGTTGGTATCAGATTTGAGGGATTACCTAAAAGCTATAAGGTTCGGATCATTGAAATACAATGCAAAGTAAGACTTACAATGGTGCCACTCAATTAAACAAAATGATAATATTTGAGGCATTTCTCAAATTAAAGTAAAATATTTAAGGGTGCCCCTCAAACTAGATAGTTATGAGTAAGAGTAATGCTATTCATACCATATTTTTGCACCATATTTTCATACCACCTTAGGTGATATTTGATGTGGACAACCACATCATTTGAATTAATCAGATTTTTAAATTTAGTTCATTATTTAATAAACTAATAATTAAGAAAAATTAGTTAATTAAATGATGATTGTACTATACGAGAAGTCTTTCTCCTTCCTTTCCTTGGGTATTGCAATTTTTCAAATGATGTGGCTATCCACATCAAATGCCACCTAAGTTGGTATAGAAATGTGGTATAACAACATGGTATGAATAGCATTGATGTGGTTGTCCACATCAAATGCTACCTAAGGTGGTATAAAAATGTGGTACAAAAACATGATATGAATAATATTACTCAATAGTTATTGAAGGGATCTTTGTTAGGGCAAAGATAATCCAATGTCCAAACACTTCCTTACAAACAAAAAAGTAAAAAATTTAAGGGTGCCCCTCAAACTATAGTTATTGAAGGGAATCTTTATTAGGGCAAAGATAATCCAATGTCCAAACACTTCCTTACAAACGAAAAAGTAAAATATTTAAGGGTACCCCTCAAAATAGATAGTTATTGAAGGGATCTTTGTTAAGGCAAAAATAATCCAATGTCCAAACACTTCCTTACAAACAAAAAAGTAAAATATTTAAGGGTAGCCCTCAAACTAGTTAGTTATTGAAGGGATATTTCTTAGGGCAAAGATAATCCACTGTCCAAACACTTCCTCACAAACGAAAAGGAAAGACTTTTTAGCTAAAATGGTTTTTCCAATTGACTTAATTTTGCATTTTGGTCTTTGAGATTTAAAAAATGATAGAAGTGGTCTTTGAGTTTGTCCACCATAAATCATTTTGATCTTTCTGTAAAAAATCTTCGATAGATAAGGTTAAAATTACAAAAATACCCTCATTTTTTGTCAAATCTTTTTGGCTTATTGTTTATTAAATTGAGGTTACTTATGTTGTTTTGGTCCTTACTTAACAGAGATTTTTCATGAAAGGACCAAAATAATTTATCATAAAATGACCAAAATGATTTATAGTGAACTAACTCAAAGACCGATTTCAAATCTCATAAACCAAAATAAGGAATTATGCTAATTTTAAGGATCAATTTAACTAAAAAGCCAAAAAGAAAAGATTTCATGGTGATCATCACAAAAAATTTTGCACCGACAGGTATACCAAATTTCTATACCAAAAACATATTCTATGATATGATCACTTGAAGGGTGAACCATTTTCCAACTTTCTTAATGGTAAAAAAGTCACGAAACATCCGAAAAAGAAAGATCACAACAGAAAAACAACTATTCAAGTTATGGTTAATTGATGGTGTTTTACTGTAGTTGCGGAAAATAATAATACATATGCACTTTATTGCAGGTTTGATTTTCACCTATCTCCTTCCTCTTGAAATTTAACAATTTAACACATTAACGCTATCGTTTATAAAATAAAAGCTATGGCTAACTTTGCTTGCTTTCAATCTGTGGATATTACAGAACTATTTTGCCTGCTAATTACTTGGTCAGAGGATAGATGGATAATATAGTTTAAAAAAGCAAAAAAGAGAAGGAACAAATTAAGCCGACCAAGAAAAAAGGCATGAAAGTATGCAACTTTTGAATTAAAAGGCTTGCAACAAAAAAATGTTGGTAGAGCTTGTTGTCTTCATTTGGTTCTTTGTGGGAATGGCAAGTTGGGCTAAAGTACAAGAGAGATTACACTTTGGTCTCTAATTATTGTACATGAGATTTGAACTAATGAAAAATCAGATGCTACAAAATCAATTTAAATTTGTAATTATTGTTTGTGAGATTTGATCTTATAAAAAAATCGAGTGCTACTAAATCAAGTGGTGGCTTTTTTTTTTTAGTACAACGATATATTTTACACTAAGGGGGATGAGAGTTCAAATGGGCAACCTAATTTGGTATTGAATTCGTCATCCACAAGATTCGAACCTAAGACCTCTTACGTACAAATGAAGAGAAATATCACCAGACAGTAGTATTGAGTGATCGGAAACAAGTGGTGGCTTTAAATTATGAAAATCTTGTTAGAGAGCTAAGATTCATTACTAGCATACAAATACTGACCATTTATTTGACCACTTACCGTTACTTATGGTACAATCCAGAGGATAGGAGAAGAAAGGAGAAAGAAGAAAGGAAAAGTGCTTCTTGTCCCAAGCAATAAGATGTCCTTGAGTGCCGACCACATTGACAACGCATGCATTTCTCTTTTTCTGAACATTGTCAGGACGCACTCTTGTTTGTATGTTTCACGTTGTTGTTATATATTTTGCCACACTTGCTACCTACTACCGCATCAAATGCGTAGGATGCTCAAATGTCAAATATATGTTCCCGGAAGTCAATTGATGGGAAATATTACGTGATACCTGAATATACGATGGTGTTGTATAACTTGTGTGATTTCTCAAAAATATGTGCATGGAAAACGATAGCGTGGTATAACTAATTTGTTCCGAGTGATCGGATATAAAGGTTTGACACTGGTAGGTTTAATTCAGTAACTTTAATTCTCTGACAATATGTGCAATGCATGCTTTCCCTGGTAATCTGCTAAGAAGGAACTGATCATGTTAAAGAAGTTGCCAACAAACATATACGACAAACAAACAATCTTTGAGCCATTAGATGAACTTTCAAATTCAGATTAACAAGATTATGTCGATTTAAAAACTGGGAGAGTTTTCAGATGTTATACGTGATCGTGTCACATAATTCTTCTCGAAAGAGTCAAACATTTTGAAGTAATGCAAAAAAACTAATTATAAAAGGTGATGGTGGTTAATATAAGTACATATATGCTCAAAACTGAAAAGTGAAACGAAGTCGTGGATATGTGGGGTGGTGAAATGCTCAGATTGTTTTGCATTTACATATAAGATACCAAACTTGATTATTGACTTAACAATTAATTAGTTAAAAACTTAATCATACAAATTACAAACACACATGCAGGCCTGAAAACTTGAAATATGGTAGAGAATATATAACATAGAGTAGTGCTATCAACGTATTTTTTTTCCCTCTCACACATCCCATTTAATTTTCGATTATCAGATCGAATGAATTGAAAGAAGATCAATAAACAAAAATTAACAAAGATGTGTGAAAGGTAAAAATATGTGTGTAAATAATATTACCCATAAGAAAAGAGATAACTAACTTAATTAATTTAGGGTTCATGAGTGGTTCATGCTGACCACCGATGGTGATGAGGGTGATGATGATGTTGGAGAAGGCCAGAGCTGGGCTTTCTTCACCTTGGATACGCTTGAGAGCACAGCCGATGGGGTCACGTCCCCCATCACCGTGACTTTCTTTGTCGGGAAATCTATGCTAAATGAAGTGACTCCTGCAGAAATTCAGCATCGCATTACAGAAACATCATCTATTATTTCAATTTTCATTTCAAGTGATGTTGCACATAACATTAACATGCTTGAATAAGGACTATCTGAATTATCAATAAACAAAAAAAAATATAAATTTTTAAAAAATGTCTGACATTATAACATATTAAATTTTCTGACATGAGAATATTCTTTACATCCCGCTACTAACAAACTCATAATACAAACACCTAAACAAATTTGTTTTTTAATACAAAACTAATTTGGTTTGAGGTATAAAGAAATGTATACAAATGTAATTATTAGATATATACAAATTTATACGAAATTTTAAGTATTTTTTCTTTCTCCATCTAGTAAATAACTATACCTTCCATTTTAGAGAGGTGCTTTCTCACTTGTCCTTCACAACCCTTGCAGTGCATTGAGACCCTCAAAGCAACAACCTACAACAATTGAACAACTATATGCATGAGCTCAATTGTCCAACAGCAAAAAATAAAAAGAAACGGAAGAAAAATGAAAATTAGGTTTACCTGGTGACGAAAACGAGTAGAAGAAGACTTCAAATCAGTATTAGAATGACCATTTGAGCTCATCAAGCCTCCAGGCTTAGAGGGTACTTGAGGAGGAACAAACGCAGCCGAGAGATTCTTATGATCGGGCTTCGGTATCCAGTCGATGAAGGGCGAGTCACTTAAGAGAAACCGAGAAGAAGAAGAGCCGTTGGTACTGTTAGTCCTTGTTGAGTCACGTATGTCAGCAGAGCTTTTTCTGCGTGGCTGACTTTGTGCACTAGAAAAACTCTTTCTACATTTTTCGTAAAACGGTTTGGGATCGATAGGTAACTGAGATGAGCAAGGGGCATGGTGAGTTTGATGATGAGGTTGGTTTTTCAGTTGATCGCGATCACGAAGATGATAGTGATGACGATGGTCAAGGGGCCCGGGGCCTTGGCGGACCATAGCACGTTGGTCCTGGCTAAAGCAAATGGCTGTTGAAGCTGGAGATGCACAGAAAATATCCATTCCTTTCATGGCTAACTGGAGAATAACTTGGACTATAAATGGGGTAGCTTTTGTTTGGTGAAGATTGAGGAGAAATAGAAGAGTGAATAAGTGATACAAGGATCGATTTTCTTCAAAAGAGGCCAACTAGTCTCCTTTTAAATTAGGTTGCTGGATGAAATGGAAAGCCAAAGAAAAAAGATGTAGTTCTGATCAGGCCCCACATCAAGGAATAGAAGAAAGGATTGGGATCAACTCGAGATTTTTGTGTCCAGAATCCGCAGATCGAGATATTCGGACCCCTCGTTTTTAGTTATACGGCCCTATTAGCATCCCACTAACCCACTTAAAAACTTGAACGCCCAAATCTCTCGGTCCGGACTTAGGACACAGAGATCTAAAGTGAATCTCATTCCTAGAAGGAAAATTTCTTGCAACCATTGCACTATTCTAATGGCATCATTCATTCATTCATTCAATAGACGTTTATTATTTGTCTAATAGACATTTGATACATGAGGAATCAATGACAAAAGAAATCTCTTAGAAGAGAGAGGATGATAGTACCTTAGAAGATTAGAAGTGATCCATTAGTCTGTCAAAGTTCAAAGTTGTGAAATTTTTTTTTTTTATTGAAAATCTCATTTTCCATTGATTTGAGAGGTGGGGATAATTTGATTAAAGTTGTGGTCATCTTTGTGTGGTATGCTAGCTCAACCATTTCTCTAAAAGTAGGAGCTAGTTCTATTATTGTTACATCATATTGTTTTGCATTTCACCCTCGCCATGCATATATAGCATGAATATCCCTATGGTTGGCTAGTTGGGTGCGAATCACATTTGGTTTTCTCATATATAGAGAATATGATTGTCACTTGTCAGGCTCTATACGTTGTTGAAGAAGATTCTGAGTTCAAATTTTATAAATTAATTTTTTTAAAAGAAAAAATTCGATATTTTGTTATGCATGTATGGCCCGAAGCCAACAAGATTTTCAGTTTTGTGAAGGTCGGCTTTCTTGTGCATGTACATTTACTAACTGACTAATTATTTACTCTTAAATGTTATGCTAATCAAGCATGCATTAGTTTCCTAAGCACCTTTGACTAGATCTCTATCTATTTTATACATTATTTTTTAAAACCTTGGTAACTACATTTGAAACAAAACAATCACCTTTAATGCTGTAAAATTATGTCCACTTCTTACGATATGCAATGGGAACTTCAAAATAATTATAAGCGACAAAGCAATGGGCAATAATGGTTGGATGGTGCCAAATTAGTGCAACTGGGAGAAGGTGGCAGTGGGTCAAAGCATGATAATCTGACCACTTAGCTTAAAACACACATAATTTATTAATTTTACACATTAAATCAGAACCTCAAAATGTAAAAGGGATGTTTTACCGACCTTCTTAGTTGGACATTCCCATCTTACTTTTTTCGTTTTGCATTCTTATCCTACAATACTGCACGATGATTAGAACATTCTACTTTCTACTTCGTCCCAAACTTTGCTGCAGTTTACTGATTACGCATGGGGAATGGGATAAAGGGCTGAGTTGTGTTCCATCAAACATTGGCATTTTGCACCCAAACTGGGCCAAATCCCCAAGTGACATCTTTTTGTAGAAGAAGTACAAAGTTGTAAACCACAAGTATTGTAACCATCGATTGCCTTCTGATTAGCTGGGAATTGCAAAGATGATTATTTCCTTCTAATTGATTTTCATGGAAAGCCTCTCCTTTTGACTAGGGTTGTAATGGGCATCCATCACTGCCTTGATTAATTGATGTTACAAAGATTTGTTAGTTGAAATTCGTGAGCATTAATTCTTGAACTTGTTGTAATGCAGAGCAATGATTCTTTTGGTTAACGCCGTTATACTTTCTATCCAAACTAAAGGGTTTAAAGGGGAAAAAAGATGAAAATTCTAGTGGGGTTAACCAAAAAGATCATTACTTCATATTATAACAAGTTAAGGGACCATATTCATAAATTTTTATTTCAAGGACCAAAGATCCTATTAATTGAAATTCGATGGCCATTTCTCAAGTTATCTTTCCATAAAATTGAACTAACTCATCATTTGGCTGCTCAATTGGAAAGATGATCAATGTTGCTCATAAATCTTACAATTGCACATCATTCATTGCAATCATTTGTCTTAGTCTTACCATCTTATACCTACCAAAGTTTGATCATGACTAAACTGACTGTGGCAAAAAGCTGCCGCCACCATCTATGATTTTTTATTTTATTTTTTTATTATAAGCATCAGGTACGAGGGAACTAAACATTGAAACTATTAAAACGTTTTTAACCGCTTGAATTATCAACTCATTACCATCAACTATACTCTAAATACAACAATACAAGTTTACTAAATCTTTTTTTGGTCAAGAAGTTTATTATAGCTTTGGTAACTATAACTGTAGCTTAAACTCATTATGACCAACTCCAATGATCGGGTAAAAATTAAATTTTTAGCTTGAAAAGTTTAGGTTTCAACTCAAAAAACAGTTTTTCTTCTCTAATGATTTTAGCTTTAAATTTTAGCCCGAGATTATTAAAGGATGAGTTTAGGCTTTTTTTTTTTTTTTGGTAACTTAAATTTTTTATTTTTTTTTGGGTAGATGATTCTAATTTATTTTTATGAACACTTTAACTTAAAAATGTTTAGATTCCAATAAATAATGAAAAATCATTAAATATGTTTCATCTTCTAATACAAACGTTTTAACCCATTGATTTTGTTTGCAATAGAAAGAAACAGTTTTAGAAGTGGGTAGAAAGGAAAAATTAGAAGAATTTTACGTGAAAAGTGAATTTTGTATGGATGTTTACAAAGTTTTTTGGTGAATTTAGTTTAAATAATTTTTTAAATTGTTTTAGCCATTGAGTTTAGTTTTGGAACGTTAGATCTTTTGTTTTGATCATATTCGATCTCAGTCGTTAAATTTAATGTATTTATTATATTTAAAAAATAAGATTTAAATATGAACCGTGAGATCAAAATAACCTTGGAGGGAGGATTTGTTTGACCGACAAAGCTGTCAGTGGTGTGGGTCATCCCCGCTGCGGCTTTGTCGCGTGCAGGACATGGGCCGCGTCAAGGCGCCTAGCATGCTTTGTTTTTTTTATTGCGGTTGCACGCATAGTGATGGGCCAGAAAATAGGTTCGGCTTTTTTGGGGTAAAACTTCCCAAATATTAGATTTTATTCCAAAACTTGTTGTAGGCCCAATGGTTAGATACAGTCGAGCGGGTTTAAAACCTAATTTTAGATTTTAACTCAGTCATTGGAATTGGACTAAGCATAAAGACTAAAAGGAGGAAGTCCCTAGTAATTTAGGGGCTCATTTGAAAGCTTTTTTTAAAATAATTGAAATCGTTTTTAGAAAAAATGTCTTTGGGTTCTAAAAGCACTTGAAGTGCTTCTTCCAAGAAGCACTTTAAGTGCTTTTTTAAGGACTCACTTGCGTAAAACAGTTATGTGCTTCTTTTATGAAGCATCTCAATTATTATTTTAGGATTCACTTGCGTTTTTACTTAGGCTTAGTTTCAAAAATATTTCTCTCTAGGACTTGAAATGTAGTAGCCTTATGAAAGATAGAGCATCCATGCTCTAATAGAGCTGACGAACTGAATGACCCAAACCCATATCCATTTTAGTCCAACGACACAAATAGAGAATGGAAGGGTCCGCAATCACTTTAAGCCCAAATCTCATGGGAAAAGACCAAAATGGCCACAAATTAGGGTTTTAGAAACATATATTTATTAAAACCGCACCCAAGTTCTAGGGTTTCACTTCTCGTCTCCACCTCCTTCTTCCAAAGCGAGCAACACAGACCGCAGCAATGGGTACGATCTGCAAAATTATCATCCTCCTCATCAAATTTCTTCTGACATCTAATATGGTTTGTTCTAATTTAACTTTTTTCCTAATTTTTTGATGTAATAGCGAGGATTAAGGTCCATGAGCTCAGGCACAAGACCAAGGCTGATCTTTTGGCTCAGCTGAAGGATCTGAAGGCAGAGCTCGCTCTTCTCCGAGTTGCCAAGGTCACCGGCGGAGCCCCCAACAAGCTCTCCAAAATGTTCCCTCTCTCTCACTGTCTAATTTTATTGATTGATTGATTTGTAGAATTTTGTTCAAATAATTTTTCGTTTGTGTCTGTGATTTCAGCAAGGTGGTGAGGCTTTCAATCGCTCAGGTGTTGACGGTGATGTCCCAGAAGCAGAAGGCGGCTCTGAGAGAAGTCTACAGGAATAAGAAGCTTCTTCCTCTCGATTTGCGTCCCAAGAAGACTAGGGCCATCAGGAGGCGTCTCACCAAGCACCAGGTACTGCTAATCTGCATCTCATTTGAAACCAATTTTGATTTTCGATACTGATTAGTGCGTAGTGACTCGGGCCTGGTTGATGGTTTAAAAGTTGGGGCTAAGTAGGGAAGTTTGCGAGTATGCTTTTGTTATATGCTTCCTTTGCCTGGATATGATATGCATATAGGCCATATAATACTAGTTTCTTTCTGTTGTCGACGACCCCCTTTAATGATTTTGTGAGAAATAAGTAAAATGACTGTCTGAGAGACCGGGACTTAGTATCGAAGGATGAAATGTAATGTGTTGGTATGTTTGATTTTGTTCCTTTTAATTCTATAGTTCGTACTCGGTTTAGGCTTTAGGATCTAGATGCAATTGTTTAACCCTTGTTTGACCTGCTCATGGTTAAAATAAAAGACACAATTAAGATTTCCAAGACCGCAGCTATATAACTTCATGGTTTTTCGATATGATCCCGCAAGCGCTATGTCAAATCTATCTTAGCTGATAAGCTCAAATTTACATTTGAAAAGGAGTGATCTAGAGAATCTCTCTATCTGGTCTGGCTACTATGTGTTCCTGTTTGAAATTTCGGGTCCAGTCTTTCTTGGTGTTTGCAATCATATGGGAGAACGGTTATTCTATTTGATTTTCCAAGATAGACTAACTTGAGTGCAAATTTACTTCGTCTGGTTAAGATAGTCTTGTGAGTA